AGCGCGCGGTATATACTCTTTTGTGGAGTTTGGTGTTTCCATGTGCCCCGGACAGTCTGGGTTAGGAGAGGGGAAGGGGGACGGGGCATGGGAGGGGGCAATGTAGTGGGAGTCCGGGGTGCAGAGAATCAGAGTAACAGAAAGGCCAAGATAAGATGGTTTTTGGACGGGAAAATAGTGGGCGATTTGAGGGTCCAGCAAATTAATTTAGATGAGTTGACATTTTCGGCTCATTACTGCCTACACCGCGCATGGGCAACCTCTGGCGACACGCGGACCTGATTTACATAATTATTTAAGCCCACGGGCCACCTTTTAACAGAACCCATGCTGCAGGCTTGTCCTGCGATCATTCATTTTTTGCGCTAAACTTGACGCAATCAGATCGTTAACAGTACGAATGGTTGCTGCTCTACAGTTTAGCACATGCAACTCAAGGTGTCTGTGTTTTGGACTTTTCTTGCATTCGGAGGAAAAGGGCGTGGGCTGGGATGGTAGTGTTGCATCATGGCTCCCTTCATTGCTGAGTTGGAAGTAAGCGACAAAGTTCACGCGCCTCTGTATACACACGCGCACACATACACGCACACACACACACGCACATACACATACATACATACACACACACACACACACACACACGGGCATTTAGCCGGAATTACGCGTCCTGCATTTACATAAGATGCAAGGGCGCATAAAAGCACATTAATTTTTATCAGGTTGTTTATTCAGTAAAAAGAAAGCAACAACATGCTAATGTGAGCTCTGAGTTTGAACTTCGACACAGAGTCGTTGAAATTGACAGAGAGTTTCAGAGTATTTTCCAGATTGTCGTCTGTTAGCCTTGTACGTAGTTTATTTTCATGAAAGTGCAGAGGCGTGGCGGAAGACAAACCCTCGTTCGTCTGTTTGGACACCACATTCCGATTCTCTTCGCAAACTGCCGGTTTTCCACCTGTGGTCTCCACCGACCACTGGCGCCTCCGTTTTGCCTGTTCACCATTTTGAAAACACATTACCCCCTTTTGTTACAGGTCGAGACCGTTTGTCGATATTTAAATTCCTTTTATAAAATTCCGTTTATTGGAGTGATACTTGTTTGGCATGTTCTTGTCTTTGAAGAGAGGCTTCAATTACACAAATTTGAAGGTGTCAGGGGTACCCCAACGAGGGGCCATTTGTGGTAAATATCTACTATCCGAGTACAAAGCAAGTGTGGCGATGAATACCACCTGTTGGGGCTAATATATCTGGGTTTCATTTAGATCCCGAGTTGTTCAACTCATTCAGTTGGGAAAGGGGTGGCGGTCAGTTTCCGTGAAGCCAATAAATACACGGTTATTACAAAATGCTGTAATTGCACATATGCCCAGCCGTTCATTGCTTTTCTGTGAAAAATGTCAGTGAAATTTTCAAAAAAGAAAAGTTTTACTTTCAAACAATCATAAAAAATGTTCTGAAAATAAAAGGCGAGATCAGTCTCGTTGAACCCGCAAAGGCCGAGATCTCTCTCGTCCGAGAAGTGGACACCGTGAATCCAGAAAAAAATGAAAGAGTTCGAACTGGATCCATCACAAATAAACAGATAAACACAAACAGTACACAGACAATGCTTAAATAGGAATGACCGTAAGCAAATAAACACAAACAATACAAATAATGCTTAAACAAGTATGATTGTTACACAATAGCTGGTTGTGATGTTTAAAGGCAGTGGTGAAAAGCAGTGACTTGAGAAGAACATTTGAAACAACTTGGAATAAAAGACAGTAAAACGGATACAGAATTTATCGCAACAGTTGTTCTGACATTCAACAATGATAATTTAAACTTAGTTTACGATAAGAAAACTATCAATAATCATAAAAATCACAGCTCGAAGAAAGCGACGTTTGGATGAGAGGTCGTTTGGGCAGCAAAGACATGCCTTGTGTGGAAGAAATTGACTCCAAAAAAAAAAAAACAGAAACACGAAGAGGGGATACAAATGGCGAACTGGGAGTTTGGAATTATTATTGCAAATATAGCACCGGCAAAACTGATAGGCATGTCAATAAAACACAAGAGAGAAGACGACAACAACAACATATAGTGAGCATTACCTATTTTGCTACCCAATAAAATGAAGTCGCCGAATAAAAAAAAAAAAAAACGAAGCTAACAGATGAGCATCATGATTAAGCGTCAATGCGTACCTAGGCGTTGAACAGCCAACAGATAACAGAATATCCTGGTGCCTTGCATAAATTGCATGGGAATGAAATGTTATAAATGATCAACAAATAAAACAATCAAACAATCCGACATTGGCCCATAGCTTTCGGCAATCTCGAATCCACTTCATGTGCTCACTCACGGCTCGTTATGCGATTGCTTCTGTTGAACTGAACTTACAGAAAAATGATGATAATTTTTTCAATGAAAGAAAGCCGTAAATGAATTTTGAATACAGTCCGGAACATTCATTTTCGGCCCACTATTTGAAAGGAGCTGCGTTTTTCACCATCTCAACAATAGTACCATAAAATAGGGCAGTGATTTTTTTTTTTGCAGTGAAATTAGTGTTTTTCGCGCATTTTTGTTAAAAATATCGCAAAGGACAAACTGTATTTCACTTCACTCACCCTAGCAAAAGAATTTTGCAGGACGCTGATTTTCGTTTGTGAATCTCCATTTGTTGCCTTTGTCGACTTTGAAACAGCACCACAGCCGAAGGGTGCCATCACTGGATGCGCTCATCACATACTGACCACAAGGTGACATGGTCAAGCCAAGCACACGTTCAGTGTGTCCAGTCAAAATCTGCAATGCACGATATGACTGAACCTATCATTCTACTGCTAAACGACGACAGAAAGCGAACAGGAGATAAGAAAGAAGG